GCCATCTTTTCTTTCTGATATGAAACCCATTTCCTAGATATATTCTCAGTCACTATTAGTGGCCATATTTCTGGACAGTAGAGTTATACCTTTATGACATTACTATCAAAATGTACTGTCAAAATTCTGTTGATTACTGCAGCTTGAATATCTAACATTAATGCTTCTTCATTTCTGGTGAAATAGTTATATTTGCTAAACCTAACCATGGTGCTCTACCTGAATTGGGCACTACACAGTTCATTAAGATCATTCACACACTAAATATTTTCTAGCAACCTGTTCAGGAATGTCATTATACACAAATGGAGCAGATAGGCCTTGAGCCGAGCCTCCTGGCTCAAAAAGGTAGGTTCACCACCACTAGGCCACAAGAGCCTTCTCAAAAATACTTAATACCCACATCATTTAATGCTGTCCCTGGGTTTGGGAGAATGCACTGCTTCCTGTTATTCGCCACTGAAAGCCTCATTCATGCCTTCATTAGCTCTAAACTTTACAATTTCAATGCTTTCCTGGATTTGCTCATCCAAAACCCCAAATACCAATTACATATATACAGATTCATTCATTCTTTATTTAACTCACATTCAATCTCATTATTCCTGTCCTCGTGTCTTCACCCACTTTAGCCTTATTAAACAATGAAATTTCCTTCCTAAATCTTTCATTGTTCTTTTAAGACACTACTTTACACATACTGTGATGATACTGTCCCTTTAAAAGATGCATTCTGTCCAGTTTCTTTTGCGGGGGGACTGGGGGGTTTGTCACAGTGGTGTCGAGGTGTCTCCTCCCAGGAGGCAGTTTGTAAATAGCTTTGGGTTTCTCCCGGAGTGATATTTTTCACAGGAAAAGAATTATAAGTGGGTGGGCTCAGCCTCACAAGGACCCAGGGGTCTTTGGTTTTGCTTTCAGTTGATTTTTTTTTATGATGGTTAGCTGCTGCAGCAAAACAGCAAGAGTTCGCTCTGCTGCTAGATGGAAAAAAACTTAACATAGTTTTCCTCTTAGAAAATTGGAAGGGGCAGATTATTTCTTTCAATGTTTCTTTCTACTGGCCTGGAGAGAGACAGCACTTGACGACAACAACTGTTTTGCTGCATTGCATTTTTTCCCAAAAAATTTGTTTATGGGATGCTGCCTATATTGGAACAGTAGATGTTTAGTGGTTAAATCAGACATTGTCTTGTTAAGTAAGTCAATAAAGTTATACCGTTTCTTTGTTTTGTTGCATTTTAACTGTGTTGTAAGTATAAGAAAGTGTGTTTGATTGGAACTTAGTATGGACCAATAGAAATCACATCTGGAACAGTGCCTTACACTCGACTTGAAAATAAAATAAAAGTTAGGGCTTATGCTATCTTCCTAATCTATTTTGGGGAGGCTCGCTGGTCCTTAAAAGTATCTTGTTGGTTCAACTGTGAAACACCTGTCCTAATGTCTCCTTCCTTGTTAAATGTTATTAGATGACATTCCTGTGAAGTGCCTTGGGCCAAACTGCATTAAAAGGCATTGTATAAATGTGAGTTACTGTTATTGATTATCAGTATAGTATAAATCAGATAAAACATGGTATAATTATCTGCCTATAGCTCCCTCCATACCACGCTATTCCCAAACAGGAACAAACCACTAGGAAGTATGGGGCAAATTTAATTTTCTCCCCCAATTATTTCCCACTGATCAACACCAGAAATGTAGGCCAAAATAATGAGTTGTTTGTGTTCTCATTCTTCTGGCACTGATCCAAGTTGATAAGACAGTTTGGAAAAACAAAACCAAATATGCTGCTGAGAGACAGTCGAAAACACCCTTCTATTATCTGTATCCCCAAGGCAAAAATGTTTTTCAGGGTGTGGTGTACTCAAAAGCCGAGTTTGACTAGTCACATTATAACAATTCCTTTGCAAACACTACTATAAATCAGTTCCTTATAGGAACTTAAAATTCAAATTCTAAAGCAATTCAGTACTTCAAAAATGTGCCAAGTACCAGGATACTTGAACCAATGAATACCAGGAAATCAAGACCAAGATCTTTATCAACGATCATTCAGAAGACCAGAAATTGTAGGGTTTTGGGTCATTGAAAAACAGCTTTTCAAAATGATATATTGAGAAATTTCAGTAAATACAACTTTGTACTGTTTTTAAAAAACGTGGTCAGAGAAGATACACAAGATTTTATTTTGTGATTTAACATCTTTAAAATTGATCAAGTTCATAAGCATAATACTTCTAAAAAAATGATTTAAGCTTTGTCCCAGGCCCCATCACAGTTAAATAAACAGAAAGAGGTAAAGCATTATACCTTACTTGGTGATATGAGATACTTACATAAAAATACTCTTCCAAAAGTTAGCTTTACATGTATCACTGTCAATGATATTGATTGCCATCATGGCAGGAGTGAAGGCATTGGCAAATATCAGGCACAGAGCAGAAAGTCTCCCACGGCACCAACTGTAGTACCATTAGAAGATACCAACAGCCCAATTCCCGCCCTTTCAACCAGAGAAGATGAATTACAAAAATTAGAAAGTCAAATCATAATTGTTATAGCACGGAAGGTGGTCAGTTGGCCCATGGTGCTTGAACTAACTCTTCAAACAAACATCTAACGTTGACATTAATGCCATAAAACACAAGGACAGCTACTATGCATCACAAGATCATTCAATCTCCTGCCCTTTTCCCCATAACTTGGCACACTATTTCTATCCAAACAATCATTCAATGCCGTCTCGAATGCTGTAACTAAACTTGCCTACACTACATCTCCAGGCAGTGCATTCCAGACCCTAACCATTTGTTGAGTGAAAATGTTTTTTTCCTCATATTACCCTTGCTTCTTTTGCACACCACTTTAAGTTATGCCCTCTTATTGTTGTTTCTCTTACAAGCAAAAACAGCTTCTTCCTATTTCAAATCATGAGTGGGCTGGATAAAGAAGAAGATTGATTACTTTTCACCAGTCTTTAAAACAACACTCAGGGACGAAAGGCTTGTCATATATGACGAGCTTTTGAGGAATCTGGGTCTGTATTGATGGAGTTTAGAAGGATGAGGGAAGGGATCTGATTGAAATTTACATAATGCTGAGAAGCACGGACAGAGTGGACATGGAGAAGATGTCTCTCCTACTGGTGGAAACTAGAACACAAGGTCACAGCTTCAAAGCGAAAAGACGACACTTTAGAACGGAGGTAAAGAGGAATTTCTTAAGTCAGATGGTGGTGAATCTGTGGAATTCATTGATGGATTTTTGATTTGTAATATCAGTCTTAATATTGATTCTTTGTTTGTTTCCCATATGCTGACAGTAAAAAAAAGTTTGGCACATTATACATTCCAGTTTATTTCTCAAGGTATGTAAACAAAGTGCGTAGGCTGAGATTTGCAAGCTGTAATAGCAGTTCTAATTTCTTAGCTTCAGTTTTTAAGGTCATAACATGAATCTGTAATAAGAGACAGCAACGCGTGTACAAAAGGAAAACAGGACAGTCTACAAGCAATTTTTTTGCCCCCTCAAGAGACCAAGATGAAGATGAAATTTAACCAGTGTAAAGTATGTAACCAATTATAGTAAGCTACTCTCACTCTCAATTTGTCAGTAGTTACTGATGTAGGTTTTTCAACCTCGCTCAAAGACTGCATTGCAAGGTCAAATACACATCTAGGCCTTCAACTGATATTATTTCACTTGAAAAATATTTACTTCATTAGATTCTTATGAATTATATCATTGTCTCACGAACAATGGATAAATAAATCTATTTTATTTCTTTATAACTTACTTTTCTAACTGCACTATAGCAACAAGTACTACAGTCTTTTACTGTATCTCTTGCACATTATTTATTGGACTATGAAACTCTGTAGGCAGCAAAGTGACATCCATGTTTGAATGCTTCAAGTCAATGACTCAATTGTTTTCACTCAATGAAGCGTAGAATAATGTTTCATACTTTTTAAAAAAACTATTTTTAATACTATTCTATGTTTTCTTCACTTTTTTTTTAAGTTTTAAGCATATAGGGTCTATGGGCTTAGAGTTTAGCTCTTCCTTTCTAGTTCTCTTAAACACAAGGTTCTTTAAAACAAGACCAAGAAAAATTCAGAAGAATTGCAGATGCTGGAAATCTGAAACAAAAACAGAAATTGGTGGAAAATCTCAGCAGGTCTGACAGCATATGTGGACAGAAATCAGAGTCAACATTTCAGATCCAGTGACTCTTCTTCAGAAGAGGTTCTGAAGCACAATATTATGTTTCATTTTACTGTTTCTCTTTTTAATCTCTCATTGTAGTCAGTTTATAACATTCAATATACAGTCTCTGCTTTGCATGTGGTAGAGCAATTTTTCAGTTTGTTTTTATATAGACTCACTCTAACTTGGGGTTGGCAGGCTCAAATTCACACAATGAAATTAATTATTAAAGCGTCATTACTGTAGCTGTGTTATAAATATTCTGAAGTTAATTACAAGGAAAATATACGCACAATATATCCCAGAACCTTACATTACCTGCATATTGACTCTTATCATTACTTCCATTAATATTTCACAACAGAGGAAACCATTCGGATTTCAGAAAATGACCATGTCATCTAAGCAAGTGTTCAGGTATTAACATCATCATAATTCCAGCTGAAACTGCAGCTATATAATATAACATGAATATAATATGGTTCAGAGACTAACATGACCCCAGTTGAAATTGTTCCAGCGTGCGAACACAAGACATAACCTGTGAGACAGTTGCAAAAAGAATGGCTATCCAGTCTTACGGAATTGGTTTCTTCAAGCATCAGGCATCTCAATTCTGAAGTTCACATCTGACAAACTTTGGACATAAAACGTTGTAAAAACGCTTGAATACCATCACGTTTTAAACTTCCAACCACCTGCCATGGAGAGCAGCTTAAAACTACTTTCTCCAATATATTACTTTCAAAGAAGATGCAACTGAGTAATCAAAAAAGTAAATACTGTACCTGAACCACTGGATTCAGGATGTGTTACTTCAGCATACACTTCAAATATCTTCTCTGGATTTTCCCTGCAACAAACAAAAAAAAAAAAAAATCACTCAGTATTAGCCACACAGAAAGGAAAATGAATTATTACAGTAAATCTCAATTAAACAACAGCAATACGAAGTTACTCTTTAAAGTCAGTATCACATTACACCAGTCTGCTTTCTAACATGACAATCAAGGTCTCATTCTTAATTGAGACGTGAAATGCAATAATCCCTCAAATCTGCTGCGATTTATTTGGGAGTGACGGTTACCATTCAGCAGCGTTATAGCAGCTTTCAAACTTTTTTGAGAGCCAAAGGAAAATTTATCACTATCTATGGAATGCAAGAGTTTTGCATTGGTAAGCAAGCAGCCAGATGTTTTAAGGCATAATCAAGCATTACAAAATTCAGCTTCCGAGAAGGGATGTTTTTCCTTAAATTTCAAATCTTTATCAACGAAAGGGATCCATCTTGTTCAAAATTCAAGTAGGGAATTACATCAATGCCCTCAGAAATTATTTTCATCTTTGTTTCACTGTAATATTTCAATGCAAGATGTAATGTCATAAAAAGGTACAAGCACCTAGAAAATAAAGTTAACAAGCAGGATAAAATGGTGTTTACAACAATTCAGATCACATAAAAAAGTCAAAATATATACTATTGCTGACAATCCACTAGAGTATAAACAGCCAAAAAGCGTTACCTTTTTGTTTAATACCTTTCACATACAGCTTTTCAAATGAACTTTACAAAAGAAGTATCTGATAATGTCTACCTGAAGATGCACAGTGCTGCTCACATTCTTTATAGCATCACTACCGTCTGCTATTGAATTAAATTAAATCATTATATTTCTACAACTCATTCAGAACACAAAAGTGGGGCATTTAGTATCCATTAGAAACCTTGATTTTCAGGATAGATTCAATGACATTGATGAAAGTGATTTAATGCCAAGCAAAACAAACATTTTTACCAGGGGTGGGGAATCTTTTTACATTGGAAGGCCACGTTTTATTTAATAGAGACCCTATTAGGCCGCATGCTGAGAATTTAATATACACAATAAAATGTCATACTTTTGTCAACATATTTACTAATTTTAATTAAAGCCTGTTACCATATGAGGACTTTAAACAAAATAAAAACTCAAAGACACATTCACTTGCTTGACAAAGTTGACAATGGAACTAATACCAAGTGAAAAGCTAGGAAAAACAAACCATTTAGTGATTTTTTGAGATAGAAATCAGATATTTGGTTCCAGCATTGTTGACCGTAGCTTTAATTGGCCCTCCAGGTCAGCAGTGTCATCTGTCATCTGAGATCTTGTGCGCGTTTTAATTTGTCTCATACGAAAATGTTGATTCACAACAGTAGGTTGTGCCAAAACAAGACAGCATTCGACAAGCATGTTGACATAGATGTGGGTATTCAACAGCATTTTTCCATATTTCAATGAGATCCTTTTTAGCGTCAAATAGAGACTTCAGATTATTATCTTCTGAGAGCTCAATCAGTTCCATCTGTAAGTTATCAGATGCTTTAGAGATATAAACCAGGAGTGGTTGAAAAGCTAGTTTCAGTATGAGGTCAAGTTCCTCAAAATGTGCAAACCTTTCATTGAAGAATACAATCAGGGAGTCTAGAACAGTTGTGTATTCTTTCACGTTGCATTTCCTTAACGATTTGCTTGTATGTTGCTCATTAATTACCCTTACCAGTTCAGGGAAGTGTTCAGCTGAAAGTTCAGATTGGGTCAACTTTTTCCAAATGCCTGGATTTTTAGCCACATATATATAGATTTAGTCTTGCCTTACAAAAACAAATTCAGATCATCTTGCTTTGACGTTATATCACACAAAAATGCAGCATTTCTGCAGAAATCCTCTTGACGGTTCACATGGTTCATTCAGTTCCTCAAAAAATCTTGCGATTTGTTCTCGAAAAGATAAAAAAGTTTTAAAAGTATTTGTCCTTGTGACAACCAGTGCACTTTAGAATGAAACATGTTGCGAAATTGGCACGATGCATTTGCCCAAATGTAGTTTGCAATACCTATAACCTTATTTAATGTGTCACTTAAAACAGTAAATCTGGCACAGGGATTCTGTTGATGCAAAAGACAATGAAAGGAAATCAAAGTATCTGGATCTGGCAATTCTTTCTGTAGTAACACGGCAAATCCTCCATGTTTTTCTCTCTTGGAAGGTGCACCGTCTGTGCATACACTTACTAAATTACATAAATTCAGTTTCATTTCACGGCATTTTTCTTTGCAGATAGTAAAGATGTCAATTCCACATGTCCTCGCTGTAAGGGTACCCAAAGATAGTAACTCCTCGTGGCAATGAATATCTGCAGTTATAACACAAATAAAAAATAACACCTGCACGGAGTCAGTAAGGTCAGTAATCGAATAATAAATGCCTTCGCTTTGACATATTGTATTAAGTTGTTCTGTTAATCTGAGGGCTAACTCATGTTGCCGATCAGTTATGGTCCTTCTTGAAAGAGGTAGTTGTATGTACTTATTAACCTTATCTAAATCTAAACATCCTACAACTTCAACAATGCATTCTTTTATGATTTACACATTGCTAAATGGCTTACCTCCTCTTCCAAGTATATATGCTATTTTATGAGTTGCTTCAGTGATATCAGTCCTTTGTCCTGACATCATTTTAAATACTTGCTGCTGCTGCTTTTAATCATTCATTTTCTTGAGTGCAGACTTTCGGATTCACGTTCCAGTTTAGCATATTTTGTGGTCCTTATGAATTGCATAATGGTGATACACGTTGTATTTCTTCGCTGTTGCAATTATGGCGTCGCAGAGCAAACACATCATTTTATCTTTCACAGCAACTATGTAATACTGCAATTCCCATTCTTCACTGAATGCTCTGTTCTCTTCCTTTAATGTTCTCCTCTTAGTTTTGAAAATGGTACACAGATTTAAAAAGGCGGATTTAGTATTTGCGGACAAATAGGCAAAAGGCTGCAACTAGTACCCAAAAAGGCCGCACATTCCTCACCCCTGATTAATACCATCTACAGTTAGGGGAAATTTCAATCGGACCACAACTACAGGGAGCAAGAAGAGACACGACTTAACGAGTGTACTAAAATGACAGGATAGCGTATTGGCAGCAGTGATATATCATCTCAATTACCATTTGGGAATTAGGCTGATAAGAATGCTTTCCTCTGTCTTTGTAATCTCATCTCCTGAAGGTTTGACTTGTGGCTGATGCTGACATCAGTTACCTCACTATGAGCTTTGATCATAAGATTTTGGCAGGTTCTTCCAACAGTGAGATGGCAAGGCAAGCAGACATAATTCTGCCTTCTATGACATCCACATAGACAGTGATCAGATGTGGTAATCACAGCTTCTTTTAACCTCTAACCCAAGGATACCAAAGGCAATTTGTGCTACCATTTACAATGCTTAGATTCAGGAGAATCTCAAATTTCATTCGGTTTTGGTTTGCTTGGAAAAATAAAAATGTAAACAAGTATTAGTTATCACAATCAGTGAATGGGTATATTTGCTGTGAATATATCAATAATTTTCAATCCTGGTTGAATACACATCACTGCTAATTTTGACTCCAGTTCAGTAATAAATGCACAAACAGCTAGACAGACCTGGTTTGTGTTCTCAGTTCAATTACAGGACTGTGATAATTTAGTTGATAGCAGTACATGAGGTAGTTAGTTCATGACAATTAACCACAATATTTCAGAAATATAAAACAAAGTGGAAGGGGCAGCAAAAGTAAAGGCTCTTATCCTGATCGTTACCAAGTGACCCCCCCCACCAGCCCAGAAGGAAAGTTTCATGTGTGGAAATTGAAGAGGACAGAATTGACTTCAGCAGTAACTCCTGCGACATGCAAACGTTTTTCCCATAATCCTTTTATCACTCACTCTAAATGATCACTTCGACAATATACCACAAAGATGTTAACTTCTGTGGAAGCATACCAAAAACATGAATTAGAAATATTGGGTAAAAATTAGGCAAACTCTCCAAGGCTTCTTCTATAACATTTCCCAAACCCACAAGGGCAGCAAGTACAATAAACCACCATCATCTCCAAGCTCCTTGCTAAATTACAAAATGCTCCTTGCTCAAAATCTGGAAGTTCCCTACCAAGTGGTACGGTGGAAGCACTCTCACCATACAAACTGCAGTGCTTCAAAGTGACAACTCACTTAGCACCTTCTCAGGCCAACCAGAGATGGGCAAAGAATGAAGTTACTACAAAAATTTAAAACAAAACCAGTACTACTAATAACCTCAGAGATAGTAGGAACTGCAGATGCTGGAAAATCTGAGATAACAAGGTGTAGAGCTGGATGAACACAGCAGGCCAAGCAGCATCATAGGAGCAGGAAGGCTAAGAAGGAAGGCCCATTTCTGATGAAGGGTCTAGGCCCAAAACATCAGCCTTCCTGCTCGGCCTGCTGTGTTCATCCAGCTCTACACCTCTACTACTAAATAACCTAACTTGAAGTGAACTCTTGCTCAGGACTATGATCTTTAAGGGACGTTTTGTATTAATTGTGTGTTAGTTTACTGATGAGGTATAATTGACTTACGAACACGTTACATTTGACTGAATGATACATGTCACTCCTAAAATCAACTTTCTAAATCTATTATTGTTAGTTATTTTTAGCTACTCCACCAGTAAATCTCTAAAACAGGCATGGTACATCAAGATTTAAGAACAATTTGCGTTCCATTTGGGTTACATAATAGGGTCTAGTGTAAATTCCAACCATTCCTTTGCTTTGGGATACTTTGCTAAAGGTATTTGCAAGAGTGACCATTGGCCATCACAACTAAGGTGACAGAGCAATGCCCAACGGAACAGATCTTTACCCTGAAGTAGTTAAAAACAAGCTGAACTTCAGCTAATATTTTTAAATACCAATCCAAGCCAATATCAATATAATGCATATGAAAACAAATTACTGCAAAAGCTCAGCAGGTCTGGTAGCATCTGTAGAGAGAGAAACAGAATTAATCTTTCTAATCTAGTGACCCTACTTCAATTTCTCTTGCTTTTCGTTTCAAAATTTCAACATCCAGATTTTGCTTTATACAAATCTGTACATTGTGCCATTTATGACAAATCAGTGAAGCTTATCTGATGCATCAATCTAAAAATTATAAAAGTTATAACCTTAGTCTTAAAGTTAGAAGAGAGAAAGAGTGGGAGCAGACTTGCATAAAAAAAAATGAGAGTTGAATGACCTCTTGGCACGTGGCAAATTCTATGTTGCACATCTCCTCATCCTAACCAGCATCAAATTTTGTAATTGGCGCCTCCTTGCACGTCTTCTGAAATTTACTTCTGAATTATCATATCAATAACAAATGTCATTTGAATAATAAATGTGTACATTCACAAAAAACATTTCTGTGCAAAGACATAACAAATGACTGGTTGCAGTTTAATGAAGCTTTGCTGTTGCCAAAGAAGTAAAGGCAGCATTTTGCATAAAGATTAACATTTAATTGTCGCTTAAAATTACAGATAATTAGCTGTTAGCCTAAATTACTGTTTAAAAGTTGCACCATGTGGCTCCTCCTTTGAACCATTAATTATAAATACAATTAACACATGACAGTGCATTACAGAAAAATTCATCAAGAATAGTGGGGTTAAACCACAGGTTCGATTTCACAAAACTGATATTTATTGAGGTTCTGTGCTATGCGACTCATCAACAACAGTTTCCAAACAAATGTATTGTGCCATTACTTATTCTTTCCTGTTGCTAATAACAAGAGTTAATATCAGGTTTAGGGTCTCGCAAGGATTACTTCCACTGGAACATCACAGAAGCACTCACAGAAAGCTGCATGTTACCCAACCATAATTCCTTACTTGACTACATTTTTAAAGAAAAATGTAGTGATGCTCTAAACTAAGGCTTTAGATTTTCATTAAGACTTTACAAATTAAGAATAAAAGGTATTCCATATGAAAAGTATTTTCCTTTATCCCAGATATGTCTTGTTGTTAAATATGAATCTAATTTTGAAGCTCAGCTGCCAAATTGGTGTTGTTTAACCAAGTTTTTTAATAAACCACATTTTTCACAGTGTAAAAAAGTAACCAAATGGAAAACATTATGAGTGATGAGTGATTCTATGTAGCCATATTTACATGCCATATGAAGTACCCTGCCATCACACTTTTCCAACACGACCATTTTAAAGTATATAAGTTCTTTCATTACGTTTTTGAAAGGAGGTACAGGATTCCAAAAAAGACTGCAGTGTTTTGTTTTAAACCTTCACAGCTATCAGACTATTAGTGGAAAGTCTAACAAGACATTAGCTGCCTATATGGGTATTCATAATGGAAGGATAATTCTGACCCAGATAAGACACCTGGAAAGTGAAGCAGCATTTCATCTGTACCTTCTCCAATCTTGTGTACTGTATTCGCTACACTAAATGTGGCCTGCTCTACATTGGAGAAACCAAATGCAGACTAGGTGACCACTATGCGCAACACCTTCGGTCCGTGCACCATCATGACCCCGACCCTCCTGCAGTCGGTCATTTTAACACAGCATCCTGCTTGCAAGCCCATGTGTCTGCCCTCAGCATACTGCAGTGTTCCAGTGAATCACAGCTCAAACTGGAGGAACAACATCTCATCTTCAAACTAGGCACTTTACAGCCTTCTGGACTCAACATGGAGTTCAACACCTTCAAATTGTGAACCAACTCCCATTTTTTCCCTTTCTTTTAACCTGTTACATTCTGTTATGTCTTCTCTCTCCTCCCCCCACCCCAGTGGGACCGTCTATCCTTTCAAGTCTGCCAGGAGACACACCATTGTTCTGCCATTCTCACATTCTGATCACTTAAATCTGAGCTATCAAATTATTTTCTCTACCAGCACCCAGCACTCACTACCCCAACATTCCACCACCCTCCCACCAAACTATAGCATAAATGCTGTCCCATCCACAGTTCACTTCAGCTCTAAACTCAAAAATGTTAGCTTGCTCTCTCTCCATGGATGCTGTCTGATGCACTGTGATTGATAATTATCAACATCATTAGAGTGAGAAAAGAAAAAAAAAAATTAAATCCCCAGTTGTAGCGTGTGGAACAATTTATCTGGAGCCCACTATTCTCCTGGTCATATCACACTTGGGAACTAATCTCTCAAACATAGTTTCACTATACATGATCAGGGTCATGCGTGTCCAGTTTCTGTGCTCTTTGCACGTGTTGAACTCAGAAACCTCACCCATCCACCTAAAAGGCTAAGTGGCAGCAAGACACGGTGACATTTACTTGCACATAATATGCAAGATGATGGTGGCTCGTGCGTGTTAAATAAAATGAAAGCCGAGGCGGCGACAAGTGCCTGGAAGAAACTGACCCACATCCAACAAGGTTCCAAACTGAAGCATAGGCATCGACAGTCCAGGTATTATCAGCTCATGTTTTTCTTGCTTGCTCGCCCAGTAACAAAGAAAGATAGTTCCTTTATTGCTTTACCTCTTAGCAACCAAGGGCACATTTATATCCCCACTGTACTAAAGAGATTAGCGGCTTGGATTGGATGTGTTGCCCTGTTAGGAAGGTGGGTGGACAGAGCAGGCAAGCTCCAGGAAAGCCGCGGCCTAGCGCCGCTCAACAGGCTGAAGAATCGCCCAACGTCTCAAAATCCTCACAACACACGGAGAGAGAGAAATAAACTCACTTAATCCTGGATCCCATGGTTGCTCGCTGTACAACCGCGCTGCTGTTCGCTTTAAAGAACCGGCAGAAACAAGCCGAGTATTTGCCCCTTCACAGCGTTCACGCAAAACCAGGGAACGACATGGTCACCAAGGCGGAGAGAGCACCAGCGGGGCCGCAAAGTACCCTGGGAGCTGTAGTCCAGCTGACTGGTCCCGCCCCCCTTATTTCGATGAGCAAACGTCACGGTAATAACTACAACTCCCAGAGCGCACCCCACCCGTGGTGAGGACGTAAACATACGCTAACGCAGCATCTGGACTTTGCCAACTTTTGTTCCCCCAGCATCAGTGACCAAACAAACCCGTTGTGATGGGACACTGATTGACTCCCCTTTTATTGATCCACAGAACTTTGCAATCATTGCACGGGACAAAAGTGATATTCTGATATGTTGTCACAGCCATTGCCTATTTTTTGATGAATGCGGCTCAGTCAGAAGACATGAGTGATTGAATTACATAACTATAAAGGACTGTGTGTACTTAGATGGGGTAAAAATGTTTCAATTCCAGGACCAGTAGTGGGTCTGGAGGGTTGGCATTTGGGTGAAATTAACTGGCAATTATGGACCTTTATAATTCTGGATTCCTTCTTTCCCAACAGCGCCCAGTTTCCGCATTTTGCTAAGTGTCTGAGGTGAGTGCACAGCAGGTGGAGCTTCCAAAATAAAATTGGAAGACTTGATCAGTTGGTGTGAAGAGTTCCAGCCATGACCAGATAAGAGGTTGCAATTCAAAACATTTCTTCCCTCAGTGAGTGCAATCAGTCTGACAGTTATCATCAGCTTCACGGAAGTCACCACCTATTTAAAGCACTCCATTCACATGCAACAACTCTATAAATCTTGCTGCAACTTTCAATGGAAAGTATGGAGTATATTTTTAAGGTGAGAGAAGAAAGATTTAAAAGGGATCTTAGGGTCAATGTTTTCACACAGAGGATGGTTCCTATATGGAATGAGGAAGTGTTATATGCAGGTACAGTTACAACACCTAAAAGACATTTAGATAGATACATGAATAGGAAAGATTTACAGGGATATGGGCCAAATGCAGGCAAGTGGGACTAGTTTAGTTCGGGAAACAAGTTGGACCAAAGGGTCTATTTCTGTGCTGTATGACTCAATGGCATGGAATTAGTTCATTGAGCTGTACCTTCTACATGTGGTGAGGGGAAAGAGCAGAAGCCACACCGCTGCCAACAGCATGAACTGACTCAGTCAAATGCCCTTTCAAAAGGCAGATATGATGGACACTAAAATTCAGCTGGCAGGAGACAAGACACCAAACACAAGGTGTCCAAGCGAAGATTCACTTCTCTTGGATTCCCTTGGCACCAATGCCTATCCAAACTCCCCTTGCCTTTAAACAAGGAGGGTGTTCACTTCTGCAAGGAAAAATTGCAGAGGTATGAATACTTGTAACATATTTGTGCAGAGAAGAAAGGGCACCATTTGGAAAGTGTGACTATGAAATATGGATGTGACCAAGCAATAGGCTGAGGATGAGTCATGACTGCATAGATGAGGATGCAGAGGGACCAGTGGAGCTTAGGAATTTGATGCAGAAGAAAGCTGGGCAAGACCAAGTGTGGTGATTGGCATCTGAAAGTGTGATACCACACACTGGCCTCCTTTTGATACACTCTATCCTTCTGAAAACTCCATTCTATCTACCAGCACCAATTCTCTGCCTTGATAACAGTCTGAGTTGAAACATATCTTTGATGCCATATTTGACCCAAAGGTGATTTATGACTATTTCAAATCAATACCCTTCAAGGTCTTGCACCTCTCTAACCTCCAAGATATCCTGCTCATCTATTTATGGGACCTTAAGCATCCAAGAGTTAATTGTTGCACCATTGGTGGCCCTATCTTCAACTTCCAATATGAATATCTTTTTCTTCTTATGCTTTTTTTTTCATTATGAATTCTTTTTATGTGTATTTTGTATGAATTCTGTGTAGGTGGAGGGTTAATCTTAAATTTGTGAATTGAGTTGTTGCTTGAGTTGGACCAGGGTCGCAATGTAACAGGAATTGATTGTGTGAATTAACAATATGAAGAAAAGAAGGGGAGTAGGGACAGATGTTTGAGCTGTGTTCCCAGTTGTGATCAAAGATAGACTTTGAAAGATATAATTTGCAACTGTATCTAAATATGGATACCAATCATTAAATTTGAGAAGTGTTTATACAGGAAAAAGTTACAAGTGGGGTGAGGAAACCCCTTTCTGATTCTATTTGTGCCTTTAAACCAACAACTTGTGGAAATTGTAACAAAAGCCCTGGAAAGTTCTGTATAGTAATAAGGGCAGGATACTCTTGGACTGTTTCAATTGGATATTCAAACCTGTCTGCAAAAGAGCTGGATTTGTGTCCATGAGTCAGTGCTGGATGCAGTCTTAGGAGCCCAGTGGAACACAGTCCCAGGGAGCTGAATGAACCACTGGGCGGTGAGCAGACATTGCAACATTCAATCAATATCAAGACTAATACAGCATATTGCATACTATTGGGCTAATATGTTTAAATATGAACTTCCTGAGGAAGTGGCGGATGTGAGCACAGTTACAATGTTTAAAAGACACTTAGATAAATACATGAATAGGAGAGATTTGGAGGGATATGGCCAGGAACAGACAGGTGGGACTATGTTTAGCACAGTCTGGTTGGACCAAAGGGTCTGTTTCCATACTGTATGGCTCTATGACGCTATAACTCCTTACTTAACGCTTTTTGTGTTCATTCCGGCGTAAATGTATATTTAGTGTTTCCAAATGCACCTTTAATTGGTTTTAGAGATCAGTAGACCAGGTGGTGTGATTTTTCCAGATTTTAGGTGATTATTATCAAATATGTTCATATTAGTTAAAAAAGACCATAAGGTATAGGAGCAGAATTAGGCCAGTCAGCCCATTGAAACTGTTCCACCATTAAATCATGGCTGATAGGTTTGTCAACCTCATTCTTCTGTCTTCTGCCCGTAACCATTGATCTCCTTACTAAACATGAACTTATGTACCTCTGTCTTAAATACAGTGAATGACTTGGCTTCCGCAGCCTTCTGCAGCAATGAGTTCCACAGATTAATCACCCTCTGTTTATTTGAAGAAATTCCTCCTCATCACAGTTCCAAAGGGTCTTCTCTTTACTTTGAAGCTGTGACTTTGATTCCTAGTCTCTCCTACTAGTGAAAACATCTTCTCCATGTCCACTCTATCCAGGCCTCACAGTATTCTGTAAGTTTCAATCAGATCCCATCTCATCCTTCTAAACTGCATTCAGTACAGACCCAGAGTCCCCAACCATTCCTCATATGATAAGTCCTTTATCCCTGTGATCGTTCCTTTAATCCTTGTCTAGACCCCTCAAGACTAGCACATCCGTTTTTCAGGGTCCAAAATTGCTCACAATATTGGAAATGTGATCTGACCAGAGCCTTATAGAGCTATACATTGCATTTGCCTTCCTAACTGCCAACTGAACCTGCATGTTAACCTTAAGAGGGTCCTGAACTAGGACTTCTAAGTCACTTCCGCTTCAGTTTCCAAAACATTTTGTTGTGTTCAACCACAATTTGTCTGTTAACCAATATTTACCCCCTGTTGATTAATGATGTTAGAATATAAGTTATATATCTTGTAAATTGTTTTACGTTTCTAACTTTATATAGTAAAGTTTATTTCATTTGGTTAAAAAGCATGAAATTTTGTTGCATTATTCTCTAAGTGAGTACCTTGGATCTCAAACTTTGTCAAATGTAAATAAACAGTTACAGGTCACTAGCCAGATCCTAAAATAAATTTAGCAGTGTCATCCAGGGTTATAATAATGAGCTGTTTAAGTGATGAGGATTCTTTAATATTATTGTGGGTGGCAAGACCAGCATTCGTTGCCTATCTCTAATTGCTCTTGAACTGAGTTGTTTGCTCAGTCATTTCAGAGAGCAGTTAAGATTCAACCACAATGCTATGAAGCTGGAGTCACATGTTGGCCAGACCAGTGAGAGTTTCTTCCATCATGGACATTTGAGAACCAGGTGGGTTTTTGTGACATTCAAAAGTGATTTCATGGTAGCCATTAGAATAGCTTTTAATTCCAGATTTTTATTTAGTTCAGATTTCATCATCTGCCATGATTCAAAACCATGTCCACAGAACATTAGCCTGAGCCTCTGAATTAGCAGTCCAGTGACACTATCAATATGTCTCTAATCCCCCCTTTGGGTTGCAAGCATTATTCCACAACCACTGACAAATGAAACAACAAGGTCAAAGTACAATAGCAATACAGTATTAAAACATCAGCACAACATTGGAATATTAGCAAGTCCCACGGCTGCAGAGGATAAAATAAGTCAGGAAGTTACAAAAACAGAAGTTGCTGGAAAAGCTCAGCAGGTCTGGCAGCATCTATGAAGAAAAAACATCACAGTCAATGTTTTGGGTCCAGTGACCCTTCCTCAGTTGAAGGTATTTGGTGCAAAGTTTCAAAGTAGACACAGGGAGAGAAAAAAAGGAAGGAGCCATGAGCTGTATATACCCACTAGATTTACCTGAACTAAGATATTAACTGCCTTCTTTAGGTAAGAATAACTTTTGTTCCTTAATAAATTACCATGATGCCTCCACGCTAAGTGACTCCTTGTCCAAAACCTGTTATCTGGTCTGTGGATCTCTTAAACCAGACCCTAAGCTCTGGAGTTTTGTTCCTGAAGCATTCCATTTCTCTTCTATTCTTAAAACTTGCCTCTGAGCAAACATTTGGCCATCTATCCCAATATCACTTTCTGAGGATCAGTCCCAGACTTCTAAAGGCAAATAAAAGCAAACTACTGTAGATGTTGGAAATCTGAAACAAATACAGAAATTCTCCAGCATTTCCTGTTTGTTTACTTTATAAAGCTTCTGTGAATTACCCCATATATTTTATTATGGTAAGTGTGATATATTTATATTGTTGTACAGAAAATAAAATTGTTCACATTACATCTTGGTGGCATCTCATTAAATCCCTACAGAGTTGTCCTAAATTTTCTTTTTGTTTGTACTCTGCAATAGTCACTTTGCAATAAAGTACAACATGCCGTAATCTTTCCTAATTGCTTGTTGTTACCTACATGTTTATTTTGTTTGATTCATGTACACAGACACTTAAGTAACCCTGAACATTTCCTATCAAAGTGAGTAACTTCACATTTTCCCACATTTTATTCCATTTGCCAAGTTCTTGCCCAAGCAATCAACCTGTGTAAATGCTTTTGCAGTTTCTTTGCAGA